GCCAAAGTCGGACACTTAACCGACTGAGCCACCCAGGCTCCCCTCTCTCTGCTTCTATGGGTTCAGTCTGTCAAGCAGCCGACGTCCAACTTCAGCTCAGGTCATGATCTCACGGTTCAAGAATTCAAGCCCCACCTTGGGCTCTGTGCTGACAGCTCGGAGCCTGGAGCCTGCTTCAGATTCTGTGTCTCCCTCTCTCTCTGCCCCTCCCCTGCTCGTGTTCTGTCTCTCAAAAATAAACAAACGTGGAAAAATATTTTTTAATTAAACAAACAAACAAACAAAAAAAGAACCGGCCACCTACTGTTAGCTTCCTTAAGAGGATCGCATGAGCTCCTCAATGGTGTGAAAAGTGTCATATTCAGGTGCAAGTGAGGGAATGGGACTTTGAGAGTCTTACACTTTTGGGTTTCTCCCCAGAGCCAGCATCGGGAGAGAGACTGGGTGCTGTTCCACAAAGCGGGGGGCCCAAGGCAGCACTGCTGTGGCAGCGCGCCCCCATACTCTCTGGCCTCCCTGCTCGACTGGGGCCTCAGGTCAGCCTCTTCCCAGGGGAGCAGAGCCCAGAGGGTGAGGAGGACATGGGGGAAAGCCAGGCAGAGACACTTGGGACAAGGAGGGAATTGGGAGATGCAAACAAGTCAGGTGTACAGAAAGCCCCGTGGAGATAGGAGGAATGGACAGATGGCTTCCTGAGATTGTTAACCACACCTTAGGTTTTATCAGACAACGGGCTTAGACCACCAAGTTTCCTTATTTCCTACCCACTGAGCCTCTCATTTGGGTTCCGTGACTATGACCCTCCTAAGCAGAAAAAGAAGAGTAAAGACGCTCTCCCGAGGTAAGACTCAGGAAGAACTCCCTTCCTCTAAGACCGCCAGGTCCAGGGAATGGGTATCCTGTTGTGGAAATCTCTGGTAGCCGCTAACTACCTGAACTACCCAGCCCCATAGCTGGCCCTAGGGTCACCCGCAGCCCGAGTGTAATGGGGACTGAGAGGCTTCTTAATCTGCCCCTCATGATGCCTCTGCTGAGTGGGGGTGGAGCTCCACTCATGGGTCTGCGGCCTGGGCCACAGGGACTTTGGGGGTCTTTCCACTTGGGTGGTTTGTGACCTCATCTGAATAGAGTCAGGGGGAAGCAGCTTAGGGCAATGGTGGAGAAGGGAGGGAGGCAGGTCTTAGAGAGAGGGAAAGCTGGGGACAAGAGGGGACCTGCAGTGGTACACAGCCCAGATGGCAGGGCAGCAGCGATCCTGGCCCAGTCCCGAAAAGCTAGCATCCAAAGGAGGCAAGGAGGGCGGCGCATACCCGAATGTCTCCGGGGTCCAGGCTGCGCTCGCTCCAGGCCGAGGCGATGCTGCTGTCCAGGTAGGAAGCTGACCGCTGGAGGTCCAGTTCGTCCTCATACACCTCATCCACAATCTCCTCTCGGGGAGGAGCCCCCGGCTTCTGGAACTGGCCAGGGTGGGTGTGACAGGGAAAAAGAGTCAACTTCGCTCCCTGTTCACGCCTATTCCCACCTGCCTCATGAAATCCAATCTTCACAGCCTCTCTAATTTGCAATTCTGAGGGCATGGAGACTTTTGCTCCCCCTCATTCTCCCTGAGTTTCTCTAGCTCAGAGACCGGGGAGGGGAGGTCCTGAGCCCCTGCCCCCACAATTCCTAGCCATGTCCTTCAGCTCCCCAACCCATCCCTCTGTAACTGCTTCCAAGATGATTTTTCAGAGTCCACCAAACGAAACTGTCAGTTGTGTTACAAGGACCCCTACAGCCCTAGCTCTTATTTCCTTTGCCCTGAGATTCCAGGCGGAGAGATACAATAGCTTCCCCCC